TAGGTTAGCACAAATGCTATCTGTTGACAACCACTTGACAGGACGACCCCTGTTTTTTATAAGAGGATAGTGAAGGCTGAGAACAAACACTGAAAATGCTTAAAGGGAGGAGAGGGTATCAGAAGAAGCCAGAGTTCAAACACATTGTGCATGAGTCCCCCCCCCAAACCAAAACTAATCTCATCAGTCTTCCACCGCCGATAGGGTAAACGTCCGTCTGTCCCGCAGACGAGCACTGAGCATTTCCTGTCCTGCTCTGTGATGTCCGCTGTCTGGATCTTAGATTCTAGAGTTAGAAACAGTCAGTAGGTGGTAACGGCGCTTTGTGGGTGGCGGGGGTCATGGTGCTGATGGTAGGATGGTTTCTAGCTTTCAGCACATGCAGTTGGAATGCACTATCAGAGGAGGACCCTCATCAGAGCTGTGAGGCTCTGGGCGTCGACACAGCAGAGTAAGGTGTCTGGAAACAGGCTGTTTACAAGGCTCATCTGGATAGGATGGAGCAAAGGGTCACATAGAGGAGACGGCTTAGCAAAAGAAGGAGCAACATGGAAAAAATAGAACACAGAGATGGGACCGTACGCAGTCTCTGGAAAATTTGAATTTTGACCAACAAAAAACAGCTCAAAGTGATGAAGTGAAATGAAAATAATAAATGGCCCAAGTGCCAATGATCCAACACTGCTGTTTGTTTTCAACCTCTTGCCTCTAAAGAAACCTATAAAAAAAAATCAGTTTTTAAAAGAAAAGACATAAAAGTTTATAAGTCATATAGAAAAGACAGGAAACATGTGCAAGAAGCTCTTTCAGTCAGGAAAGACATAAACTGGGCTTGTTGCTACATGAAAAATGTATATGATGCAAATATCCACCTGAAATACACCATTCCCAAACGCAAAATATTGTGGTGACATCATCATGCTGTGGGGATTCTTTACTGTTGCAAAAGAAGCTGGTGATAAAGGTTGGTAAGAAGAAAATCAGCATGAGCATCATCCCACTAAATACAAAGCGAGTTAGCAGCTACTTATCAACTGTGACTCCAAATTGGCTTCTTGACATAAATATATTAGCCAAACTCTTTAAATACACTACTTTATGAAGCCTTCACCCAAAAAACGGTTTACTAAAAGAACAGTCATATTGGTTGTTACATGTGGACCTGTCTTTATTTAAATTAAAAAACATTTTTTGAGTCCAAGGAAGGGCTGGGTTATGCTTGACGCATGTTCAGTCCACACAGAAGATGAGCCGTCTGTCACAACGTCTACAGCTTTAATACTCTGTGAGTCCTATCCCCTAATCTGGCTGGCTTTCACAATAGGTTGACAGAGGGGGTACCTATGGGCTAAATTACATGATCACTAGATGTTTCCCCCGCTGGTAGGAGTATGGAGCTAGATCAGTCTTAATTTTCACCAATACACATATGCGATTCATATACACGCACAGAACGATTCACACAAGATCAACACGTGGACAGAACAAGATTCACCAAAGCATTTATGGTTCATAAACAATTATAAATTAAATTTGAAGGTACCAGTGGTCTTTAACTTCACTGCATTTGTGTATGGATTTGTGAGACTGTGCCTCAATACACAAATGCATTTTTTAAGCAGGGATAGTTTGCCTCCAATCACAAAGCTATAAGCCAATCACAAAAAAGTACTCCACGTAGGAGGACCCCCAGATCCCACATCCTTCGTATCCGCACCTCTCTGCCTAGCTCACGTATTTTGTGCTGAGCACTTGCACACTCATTTTAATCGATAAGAGTAGTTTGACATCCACCGTAACTCCTTCAAACGTCACTGTCCACGTACGTCTTCTCCGTCCTTCACCGTCAAAATAAGAAGCCGACCTATTTATAGCTCCACTCCGAGCATAATTCTTATATATATTCCCAACAACTAAGACCCTTTATTTAAATTATTGGTACTTCAACATAACAGGAAGCAGATTTCTCATCTCCAATCAAAATATTTTAGACCGGGAGGCTTAAAAGTTTAATCAAATCAAGTCCTTCCAGGAGCTCCTCTCACAACTTCAAAAGAAACTTCTTATTGCAGGCATGGGTGAAGAGATGCTGAGTTTGGAGATAGAGAACAAACCAATTTTGTATTATTATTGTATTATTACAAAGATCCACAATGAAAAGAAAATGTTTCGGCAGAATTATGTGTGATTGATGCTGATGGTGAGATTTAATAATGTCATATTAAATGAAGCGTCTATTACTGCATGTTTTTCTCATATGAATTAAATAATCATATAGAGCATGCTCTCCTCGAGCTCCAAGGAAGTCAGAGCGGAGGAAGACGGGAGGAGCTGTGGAGACTGTAGGCTCTGCTTTGCGTAGACGGTCTGGAATGGACTTTGGCAGAGAAGAGGATGTGGGATCTAGGGGTAATTCATCTCACGTGGAGCACTTTCTTGTGATTGGCTTACCATCCCTGCTTAAAAAATACATTTGTGCATCAATGGTCGTCAGGGCAGTTTAAAGAAATCCACACACAAATGCAGTGAAGTTTAAAGACCACAGATTTTTCGTAATTTCATTTATAATTTTTACGTAGAAGAAATACTTTGGTGAATCGTGTTCTGTGCATGTGTGGATCTTGTGTGCTTGCGTGAATGGTGCTCTGCGTGTTTGGATCCTGTACTGTTTGTGTGTGGATTTTTTTGTACTTATGTAAATCGTTTTGTGCATGTGTGGATCTGTATTTGTGAAAATTGAGACCGATCTAACTACATATAGTGTTTGTTCGCCATGTTTTTCTGCAACAATCTTTCTGTGTGGTTACAAATTTTGTGGTACATGTATTTGAAAGGCCCAGTCAGATCCAGACCTCAATCCAACTGAGAACTTTTGTACAACTAATGTCCACAAACACTTTAGTTACTAAATATGCCCACAAAGACCAAGACCTGAGACCAAGACATGACCAAGACCTTTAGAGCCTGAGTCCAAGACCTCCTATGGTCTGGGCCTTGATCTCAATCTAGGCATCTAAATGTCTCGGCCTCGTCTCGGTTCTCCTTGTTCTTAGTTTGTGGGGTCTTGACTACAACACCACTTTTGATATCCTTATTCATTTAAAATTGTGTAAACCACACATTATTTTATTAGGTTAAAAGTCTATTAGATATTAGTGCTTTTGCCATAGGCTTTAATTGAAATATGGTGCTTATATTTGGACTGAAACTCTTGACCTTTGATTAATCTAAGGTCTAGGTGAATGAAAGCGTTGAAGAGAAAATCTATCACAGTATTTGTGTATGTCCTTGCTGGCATTGAGGTAGAGGGTGACTGAGAAAATGAACAGCTAAAATAATACTGTGGGGCATGCATGGGGCCCTTCCTTATCTAAATGAATGGCCAGCACTCTAATCCCTTTGCTTTCTGGTTTTATCAGCAGGGAAGGAAGTGAGTGGTCCTATCTGAGACATACGTGTGGCTGTGATAGCTGCCAGGCCTGAGCGCCACGAAACACACGGCGACCACGCCTAGGAATTCACACTAAGCTCTTCAGAAGGAACCTTTGATGAATCAACCTGGAAGTGATGGGATTTTTTTCTGATGATGATGTAATACGATGATCACAGATGAATGTGTGTGAACTAAACAGAATTGCTCACTATAGGATGAACTGGGCTGCGTGTTTTGTTTCTTCTTAAGCACTCAATTATGTTTTTAAATAAAAATTGCGTCAGTTATTGGGAACTGAATGCCTAAAGAATACTCACACTCTGGGTTTTGATTATTGTTGCCAAAGACAGTAAATTAGTTATGGTAATGTGTTTACTTGAGGCAAACCAGAGCAAAACAAGCTTAAAATTTCAAAGCACCAGTACTTAGATTTGTACTTTGGAATTGGGGTATTCACATCAGACTTCAGGTCAATTTTCAGTGCATTCTTGTGTTCTGGTTATCATTGGTTATCATGGTTGTCGTTTTCATTGTCGCACTGTTCTCCTGTGTTCACTTCATATATTTTTTTCATATTTTTCTTCTCAGTTTATGATTTTAAACATTAAATTGTCAATATACAATATATAATACACAGTAACAAGATTCTGAACATGTTTTTAAAAGAAAAGTCTGGTTGGACAATTGGAAAGGTAAGGTAACTCATTTATTTTTTTCACTTTTACCCAATGTATTACAACATCCAAATGCAATGCACGTCAGTTTAACTATAGCTCTAATAATTTTCAATGGTGAAGTCCTCACAAAATCTTAAATAATTGTTGTTGATTGCAGATGTTTCTAGTAGTTCCCATTGACTTTGCCTGTAAAGTGGGGAGAATGGCACTAGGCTTATCGCACCTTGACGTCACTGCTGGAAGATGTCATGAGTGAGATGTTACTATATTTGGGCAAAAATGGCCGCTCCAAGACTCAGTGATCCTGACGAAAAATTGTTTTAATTTTTTTACTGATTACACTGACTTCATTAAATCACGGCGAACGTATTATTTTTAAGTATAGATCGTGACCCATTGGTTATTCCTTCCTGACCGGTCTTTTCCTTTAATGCCAGCAATACAATTTAAGATCGGATCTAAACCAATCGATTTTTGAAATTTGAATCAATACCCAGCGTTACTAACAAGCAATATCGTCATGATTTTATTTGCTTTAACTATAAAGTATCGAAAAAGGAAAATGGAAACCTTTCACATTTTTTTACATTTTAGGCCTATTTTTGATCAACCAATTTCTATTCATCAATCCATAGAAAGATCTACTCTAGATAATGAATCAGCAGATTTTTTTTACAGGGTCCTTATATTATAAGGAGTCCATGCAACCTTTCCATGTGCCATTCCTAGAAAATGTCTGTCTTTCCCACATGGAATTTGACTGTTTCCTGGTCGGACACTTATATCTGTGAATGATGGTCTACGTCAATACTTAGACAGGGTTGTTTACCTTTCTAAACCTTTGCTTAGAGAAAAGAGTCGGGGATAAAAATTGAGGTACACGGTCTTACCTGTCTCTCCATGTCTGCCTCTGCTGGTGCCTGTCTGTCAGAGCAGACAGCAGCGTTTCTGCCATCTCTCTCCTTCCTTCCTCCTCTTGGCCTTCCTCCTCCACTGTAGCCAGGAAAAGCATGGTCTGAGAATAACAAGACATAAGAATATAAATGATTAAGCAGTCTCATAATGAGCAGCAGTCTCAAAGTAAAACAACGGACACATAAATAAGGTCTTACATCCAATAAAAAAAGGAGCTATCATGTTTAATTAATATCACCCAGGATGATTAAATGCATGGAATTAGGTAGAAACACAACCTGAAGTGATTGGAAGAACCCTTGAGCTTCTATTCTCAGAGTAGAATTACACAGCTTGAAGCTGAGACTCAATTATAACATCCTCGGGACGCAGCATACAGTAAGTCTAGTATAAAGTCAGTTTCACATCAGAGGATGGGCAAATTACACCCAATATTAGAGTGTGAGTCAATTAATCGCGTCCTGCACAGCACGGTGTAATGTGTGAGTATCCCCCTGTTGAACATGAATTACAGGCCAGCTTAGAGTGTGACGTGGCACATCACTGCTAATCAGAGACATCCTGGCAAACCTTCGCCTCTGAGTCTTCTGCAGCCTCTAAGCTGGTAGAGAGGGAGTCAAACGAAAAAGGATCTGGCAGCCCAAATTAAATGCAGCGCTGTCAGCTGCAGTCGAATCCCTCTTCCTCTTTACCCGTCACACATTTTCTCCCTCTCTGAATATCCTTAAATGCCTCCCCCCTCAGCAGAACCTCTGAGAAGTGATGGATCTGTAACTGTGACTGACTCTGACGCCTTGTTAAGAACAGTCTCTTCCTGTCACATCCACCAGTCAAGCATGTTCATTTCTTCCCATTAACCATGACTCCCCTTCCCAGTCATCCAACCTACCTTTCAAAAAAACTACAATATGAGAGAACCTTCATTTCTTTCTCGTCACCTTTTCTTAATCCTTTTCTGACAATCTACCTGTCTGTCTTAATTCATGTGACTATGGCTTTGATTGTCTGCGTGCGTGTTTCCAAAGGAGACGGGTAATATGCTTACTTCCCTGTGCACCCCGCAGGACAGGTGTCAAAACACGTAGCGGTGTGTGAATGATTACACCCGACTCGGAGGAGACACCAAAGATTACAGTGACCAGGAGGAGGCAGGGCCGGCTGTACTCCCTCTGCAAACTGTGTTGTTCGCTTTGGATCAAACTCTGTCCTCCTAGGATGAGTGACGTGCTGAGAAAGTACCGCAAAGTGCATTCAGACTGTATCACAGCCCCAGCTGGTAGACATCAAATTTCCGTGCTGCCTTTGTAACGCCCCATCAGCGTTTACCTTGGAACGCGGCGGAGCAGAGCAGAGTGATTCGCTGTTGATATGAAACCTGCTCTGTTGTGATTCCGAGCATGTTTCAACTCATTTCAAAGTTAACTTACCAACAAGATGTATGAAAAGAAAAGGAAGGATTAGAAAAAATATAGCAGGTAGAAGGTGGGGTATAGGATTTCTATAAAAACAGCGGCGAGGGATGGTTCCAAGCAAGGTTCTGTCATGATCCAGTATAAAGATAAAATGTCACTTCTTCAATAACTGACTGTGTGTACACTTCTGAACAGTGCTGAAAAAAAGTTTTACTACCCTCAACTTTTTTCTATATTGCTACCAAAGATTAACAGAGTTTCCGCAGATCATTAAAAATCATTAACTTATTATTTTTTGAATTAAGGCCTTAATTGGCATTAAAATTCATTAAATGTGATTATTGTGGCATTTATAATGCTTTAAAAAAAGTTAATAAAAACAATTTTGTCAGATATATTATATTGCGATATATTTGCGCAGAATTGCTGCTGGTTGATCGTAAAGCCATACAGTATGTTCGGAAGAGAAGCTCAAGGCGGAGAAAAATCTAGAGAATGGGTAAAATGCAAATTTCAATGAATTTTGCTGAAAAAAAAGCAATTCGTGACATGGCTGCAGCCTGTTGACGGTTACTTTTTAATGGCATTAAAATGATTCCTAGCATTAAAAAGCATTAAATTAGAGTTACTCATTCCTGTATAAACTCTGATTAAGATATGCTGTTGATCTCAGGATCTGCAGGAATCCGCTGTCATTCAATTATTTGATGTCCATCCATTTGTCAGAACACCCCGGAGATTTATTTTAATAACTTTAAAAATAATCAAAAAGATTCCTATTTTTCAGGAATTTAACTCAGTCTCTTATATCTAACAGTTTGTTGAGTCTTTGGAAATGTTGATATTTATAGCTGACAGCTAATGCTAAAAAGAAAATGTCCAAGAAGCAGTCACATCCCACAAAGTCCTTCAGCCAAACATTTTGATCAAAAAAATTTAGTAAAAGGACAACAACAGCTCTAGGCTTGAGAGTATTTTGTAGCCACAAATGAATTGGGAATCTCCGGGAAAAATAAAAAAATATTTTGTACTCCCTACAGGTGCTGGTCATAAAATTAGAATATCATGAAAAAGTAGATTGATTTCAGTAATTCCATTTAAAAAGTGAAACTTGTATATTATATTCATACATTACATACAAACTCATATATTTCAGATGTTTATTTTGTTTAATTTTGATGATTACAAATGACAACAAATGAAAATCTCAAATTCATCATATCAGAAAATTAGAATATTACTGAAGACCAATAAAAACAAAGGATTTATAGAAATGTTGGCCAACTGAAAAGTATGAACATGAAAAGTATGAGCATGTACAGCACTCAGTATTTAGTTGGGCCTCCTTTGGCCTGTATTACTGCAGCAATGCGGCGTGGCATGGAGTCGATCAGTCTGTGGCACTGCTCAGGTGTTATGATAGCCCAGGTTGCTCTAATAGTGGCTTTTAGCTCTTCTGAATTGTTGGGTCTGGTGTATTGCATCTTCTTCTTCACAATACCCCATAGATTTTCTATGGGGTTAAGGTCAGGAGAGTTTGCTGGCCAATTAAGAACAGGGATACCATGGTCCTTCAACCAGGTACTGGTAGCTTTGGCACTGTGTGCAGGTGCCAAGTCCTGTTGGAAAATGAAATCTGCATCTCCAAAAAGTTGGTCAGCTGCAGGAAGCATGAAGTGCTCTAAAACTTCCTGGTATGTGGCTGCGTTGACCCTGGACCTCAGAAAACACAATGGACCAACACCAGCAGATGACATGGCACCCCAAACCATCACTGACTGTGGAAACTTTACACTGGACTTCAAGCAACGTGGATGAAGTGCCTCTCTTCTTTTCCTCCAGACTCTGGGACCTTGATTTCCAAAGGAAATGCAAAATTTACTTTCATCAGAGAACATGACTTTGGACCACTCACCAGCAGTCCAGTCCTGTTTCTCTTTAGCCCAGGCAAGACGCTTCTGACGCTGTCTGTGGTTCAAGAGTGGCTTGACACAAGGAATGCGACAGCAGAAACCCATGTCTTTCATACGTCTGTGTGTGGTGGTTCTTGAAGCACTCACTCCAGCTGCAGTCCACTCTTTGTGAATCTCCCCCACATTTTTGAAGGGGTTTTGTTTCACAATCCTCTCCAGGGTGCGGTTATCTCTCTTGCTTGTACACTTTTTTCGACCACATCTTTTCCTTCCCTTCGCCTCTCTATTAATGTGCTTGGACACTGAGCTCTGTGAACAGCCAGCCTCTTTAGCGATGACCTTTTGTGTCTTGCCCTCCTTGTGCAAGGTGTCGATGGTCGTCTTTTGGACAACTGTCAAGTCAGCAGTCTTCCCCATGATTGTGTAGCCTATAGAACTAGACTGAAAGACCATTTAAAGGCTTTTGCAGGTGGTTTGAGTTAATTAGCTGATTAGAGTGTGGCACCAGGGGCCATCAATTTTGAACCTTTTCACAATATTCTAATTTTCTGATATGATGAATTTGAGATTTTCATTTGTTGTCATTTGTAATCATCAAAATTAAACAAAATAAACATCTGAAATATATGAGTTTGTATGTAATGTATGAATATAATATACAAGTTTCACTTTTTAAATGGAATTACTGAAATCAATCTACTTTTTCATGATATTCTAATTTTATGACCAGCACCTGTATATTAACCTCCTCCTGCAAAAGATGTAACTGCTGTCAATGGTCTAAAGTTTTCGTTTTAGATGGAAGTAATTTTGCCTATTGTTTGGGAATCAAAGCATAGGAGCCTTCAAGACGAATAATCCGTTATGCTTGAGATCCTTAGTGAAATTTCTAGCACCAAAGAAGTGTTAGGGAGCCATGTTGTCTGCTGGTTTAAGGTCAGAGCAATTGTCTGCTGTTAACGGAGAAGACAGTTGTTGAGTTTAGGAGGCTTTTGAGGCCTGGATGACAATGGATCATACGGCAGTTAAGTGACCAAACAAAAAAAAACAAATATATTCCCTTTTAAATAATCAAGAACTGCAAAGAAAATCATATAAATATTCCATTGTATGCAAACTATCTCGTTGATCACTTTAGACTACAGAAAAGAACTACATGCCAATGCTATTTTTCTATTTTTTTCCCCCCTTATATCTCATTGCTTATTTTTTTGTATCTGATTCTGTCTGGTTGTTTGCAGCAGAGCGCCCTCTCACTGAAACCTTGTGCATGTGTGGCTGCATGGCCAATCATGTGCACATATGATCTTCTGTTTAAAACAGAGTGCTGAGAGAGGCCTTCAGGTTTAGCCTCAGGCTGATCCCCAGGCCATTCAGGAACCCCACTGCTTGTTTACTGGTCAAGCTCGGCTTTTGCCAGACCTCAGTCCTTTATCGTTTGGCTTATGTTAGCACAAATCAGCCCCTTTTTTACTTCTATTTACCCCTCGATGACAGTAGCTGTCCTCACAGTTCACCTCTATGAGCCCAGTGCTGACCACAGATGTCCCACTGACCCTGGCCACGTCCTGAGGTGAATCAGAGGACACGGGGAACCTGCGTACCTCTCTTTCTGCCAAATTCAGCTTGGTCTATTTTACAACACGATCGGCATAAACATTTCCGTCCCTCTGCAGAGGCAGGATAGGTAAACAAACACACAGGCAAGCTAAGGTGGTGTTTTCGTTCGTGGAGAGAGCTAGAGTGATGATAGCGTTCCAAGTGGAGGCTGGCTG